ATCGTTCCGACACATGCACTTCTCCTCTCCCGCCGACGGCGCTCCGACTAGCTCGACGACGTCGTCGCGGGGGATAAGAAGTGGGTGATGTACGCGAACCATACCTGCAAGCGCCAGTGGGTAGACGCCGATGAGGAGCCGCAAGGGGACCTACACCCACGCAAGATGATTCTCTCCGTATGATGGGACGTGAAAGGTGTCGCGATGTTCGAGCTGCTTCCTCCCAACACCACCTTCACGCCGGCCTACTACTGCGACCGACTGGAGAGATTAAGACAGAAACTCTCAACCGATCGGCCGAGACGTGACGAAGTGCTGTTCCTCCACGACGCCCGATGCCCGGTCGCATACCGCAAAGATGACCCGGCTCAAACTCCGCCCTCGGATGAGAGATTCAGCCGCACCCACCGTACTTCCCGCACCTTGCTCCTTCGGACACCTATATTTTCCGCGCCCTGCCGAACCGCCTCAAAGAGAAAAAGTTCGACTGCCAGAAATACCTCGAATGTTAATGCGACAGTTCATTGAGTCTCAGCCCCATCACTCTACCACTGCGGAATCCATTTCATGGCTGGAAGGTGGATACTTGTAGTGGAATACAATGGTGCTTACATTGTTGACTGATATGGTATATTTGCTGAATGAAATTATTTTCTCAAATATTTTCTGAAACTGCAAGGACCTTAAGGCCAACCCTAAATGATACATTGAAAAGCAAGAGGTGCAGGTGAATTACTTTGTTTCCCCTTTACTTTAAGTAATATTGGTGGGCCTTCCCCGAAAAATGAAGCTCTAACACAACCAAAATGCTACTACAAAAGCTACTCGAGATATGATCTACTTAAAGGTCGCAAATGGGAAGAACCATGAATGCCAGGAGCACTCCAATAATCTATATAAGAAAGGAAGAACGAGTGAAGAGAGGAAGACAGCAAAAGGGATGAATGCAGTATATGCCATAGAAAATCAATCTCCTTCAAGACATTGGCTATGATGAAGACCAAATGACCTAAGTCCCCCCATCGCTAAGTGTAAAATGATAAATTTGCTAATTTTATACGGAATTTGTAATAAAGTTCTCCTCTCAGCAATCATCACTTTTTAGCCAATTTGGTGAGAAGCTTTGGAGTCCAAGGGAACAAAGGTGGCGAGTCCACATTTTATGAGGTGGAAACGGAGTTTAAAGGAAAATGCTCCATCATGCCCCATGAGATAGCCCATTGTGTCCCAGGGGTGAAACGCCATGGGCCTTTTGAACAGAATCGTTTTTAAACATGCCATTTTGAATTAGTAAAGTTCTTTTGGGAAATGCTGAGGAACATAGCAAATAATATAACATCAACTTTTCTGGAGGTTTGCAGCAAAACTACGCCTTTGAAACTAAAAATCGAATAAAAATTGTCCACCGGATCACACCCTCCCTAACAGTCTTATTCCATTTCGTTGAACCTTGGCTACACTTGCCAACACATATTTAGGAGTCCCAGTTCCACGTTTCATTGAAAACGTACTACCAACTATGCGTTGGTGGTACTTTTCTTGTGGTGAATCCACATAGGATAGGGTACATTGAATCTTTTTTGCAGGATTCGAGGTCCATCCTGGGAATTTGAATTGAATCCTTCAGTGATGAAATACGCGAGAATGCCTATTAAGATTCTCTATGTCTTCAGTTACTTTCTTGCTCCATTCATCTTTTTCATCCTGATCTGTATTGATCATTTAAATTTTGTTAAATTTGCCACACTTTCAGATATCCAACCCATTCCTGGACACTTTCGAGCAAACCATTTTCTCATGATTGCATACTAAAGTCTATTTCCATAAGGTATTCGAAAACGAACAAAACATTCCATGCTGCTCTTGAAAATACGAATAAACTGTATTATAACACCCTTTATGTTCATTTACTTATTGTTTTTTGTCTCATACTCCTCATCGCCTACTGATCGTATTCCAGCGAAACGGAAATCCTTAAAATGTGATGTAGTTGAAAATACAATACCCTTACTTGCGTTGAGTTGTGACTACTCCCGAGGTAAGCTGATTTATAATGAAATATATATCGTCGCATTTCGCATATTTTTCTTTGACCAATCGTTTTACTTGATATTCCAAATACTTCTGGTTTCTGCATTTTGGTTTCAGAGAGAGAACGAACCTTCTATCCCCCTAACAATTATTGGGGGATGGAACGTTCGTTTACCCGAGTCAGTATGAATTGCATGTGAAGTTACAACCTTTAAGGTAGAGAATAAAGTAAGACATTTCGTCAAGGTAGATAGTGTTGTGGCGACGGTCTCGGCCATCAGCCATGTCATGATTTATAGAGGTGTCACCCATGCACGTATAATAGTACACTTTGTAAGCTAAGTTCAATTCCAAAAGCATGAGAAGTTTACAGCATTATGTTTTGGATTCGTATTCATATTAAAACCATGAAAACACGACGCAGATATACTCCGAAGCAAATAAGTGACGTCTGAATACAGAACCTTCGTACCCATTAGAACTGCCTCGATTGTTAAACGAAAAGTATAGTAATCAGGATAGAAATACTTCAGATCAATATCACCTGTACTTCTACTTGAATCCCTCTCTGACCGCCTGTCAATCTTACGGTCCATCTACCACCACAAACTGGCCAAACTGGCCAAACAGATGATTATGAACAGAGGATAACATTAATTGCTGATAATAATTATAGTTGCATGATCCGAACTCTACTTATGTGTTTGTAATCATATTAGGACGGAGTCTTCGCTTGTAAGTGTCACTTTTTATCGTTATTCCCTACCTACCCAATATTACACTTTCCCCAGCATACTGTGCACTGAGAAAACAGAAAAATGGTTTTCTAGTAAAATTAGATCAGACTTGACCTTTTGCACCTCATGCGCTGGAACGCAAAAGTTCCTTTCAGCCAATCTGGAATGTTGAACAGATTTTGTCTTCTGGATCTTTGACACTCACCTTATTTCCTCACTTTTTGGGATCCTATATTCCCTGAAGAAAGCAACTCGGTCTCATTTTTACCCTAGCTCCGTGGTAAGCTGTCGCCACAAAAAAGGAGGTTCTCAGGTGCTCCCGAAATTGAAGCGGTTCGAATGAAACATTTTTGGAGATAATATTTTCTTATCAATTACTTACGAATACGACTCTACAAAGCCGAGACCTGGTTGGTTTATGGTTGCGCGAGCTTTTGCTTTGTAGTAATTTTGAAAATTCAAAAGCATTCAGAGAAACTTTCAGCGAGGGCACGTTTCGTTATAATTGGTTTCTTGCTGATATTTTAATGTGGCAATTTATCTCTGATCGGGTCAATGTTTTACGTGGAATAATTAGAACTGAAAGAGACGAGTACCTTAGAGATGAATAGAGACACCAAAAGGAAACGTAGTTCGAATGGTACATCAAGATATCTTTCTCATTTTGCAGAAAGAAGTGCTGAAAAGACAGACTACAAGTGATGTGGTAAGATAGAATAATATGACGAAAGTCGATGGCAAACGTATTACCATGGCAAATGAAAAATCTTATTTTTGGATTGCCTGGTCATAGTACTCATCTGTCATGAAAAACATGGAACTTTCTTTTGGTGAAGGTCAAGAAATATATTACCGGCGATACCGGCGAACCTCTACAGCTATCGAAAGTTAATTTTGGAGTATCTGATACGCCAGATATGTAGATGGGAGAATATATTTAGCGCGAGTTCAGCAAGCAACGTTGTACATGCTACCATTTACGTGCTTGACTTCTTTTATAAAGTTTGGATCCGTCGACTACGAATGCAAGAAGGAACTAGCAGTCTTGGTTGATGATGTGGCGCCCGAATGAATCGCATGCGCATTAAGGTCGTCATCGATAGGGGCTGATAGCTGATGGTTATTCATGTCCTCACACGGTACTTGGATTATCTCATTCTGAGTCGTGGTGCCACGTTTTCGAATGATAACGTCTATCTCAGTAATCCTTGTCATCGCTTCGGTCGAGGTTAGTGATATCGCTCACTCATCAGTAGGGAATACCCATAGTTCGCTGACCCATGTTCTCGCTCGCAATTTCTAAGTAGAGTCATTTCACTACTTTCTGATTGAGAAAGAGGGAGAGCAAGAGGAGCGGTTACGTGACGGAGAGGGTTCTTCTGGGAACGAGTCACCCGTGAGTTGGACAAAACAAACTTTCTTCCTAATCTTCTTCTTTCACCGGGGCTTCCTAGTGTCTGAATATTTACATACACCCTTGAAAAGGAACCCGCCGAACACGTATTGATTTCTTTTAGAATTTAGTGACACAGAGGCGTTGACCACAATTCAATATACAGGGTGTCTCAAAAAAAAGTACACACACTTTAATGACCATTAATACATATTTCTTTGTTTTGCAGGAAAAAGTTAATATAAACAAGGGGGATGTATGCTTGAAGTTTGGGCAGCGCAAATTAGTATTGAAGTGGTACTGGGAATTTGAGAATGTATGAAAAGTCCAACGGTAGTGGGGCTGTGAATTTACGACAGCACTTTCAATGCGACTGTCTATTTCACGCTCCGTGATAAGTTCGAGGCAGCCCAAGCAGAAAGTTTACGTAAACAAGATATCAATTTTTTGGAGTCAATGTACATTTCTTGCGATTGCAATGAAAATGACATCACGTTTACGTAAAATTTACGTTCCTATATTTGCGTCACCAAAGTGTACATGAATTTTGCAAAAACTAGACGTCACTCCATCTGACGTGAAGTACATGTTGAAACTAGCTGACCATCCTGCAGTTGCAGTACCAAGATTCCTCGCTAGATGGAACATTGTTCCCTGCATCTTACAATTACTATTAAGTACTGGTTTTCCTGATATAGTATCAGGTTTTCTTACCATCCTTATACTTTTTATTATGCAATCCATGAATATCTATATGGAAAACATGAAATTATTATATATTTTTTATAATATATGACTCAGGTAATCATTAAATGCTGAAGTTAAGCTTTTTATTACAGCAGTGCACGGGATCAGGGAAGAGTGGAATTCCAGCCCCACAAGTACTGCATCTTCTCTATCCTAAATGGAAAAGAACTCCTTTAAATCTCTACTTCTTCTTCCGAGATTCCGATATGGTCGAGAGAAAGCAGTAAGTCACTTTGGTACTCTTGAGTGCTGGTGAGGATGGGTACTCGTGTACTCATCGAACCACCCTAGAGTTCTGAAGAACGTAAAGGAATAGAAGATTCAGTGTATCAATTCTTTTCAATGGTACTGAATGACTCTTTAAATACGTATGATTGGGAGGGGAAAATTAACATAAATTTTACGTGAAATGAATGTAAACATGCTGTTTGTAATGGAAACGGGAATATCAATTTTACGTAAAATTTACTTTAACTTTATATCACCGTATACGTATCACAGAGGTGACATTTCTGCAAACATGTTGACATTATCTTGACAATGGTTTGCATAAAAGTGGTATAAAATGGACAAAAATGTACATTCATTTTACGTAAAATTAACATAAACATGCTGTCTGGGAGACGGTACTGTGCAAGATGTTCACAAGCAAGGATCTGGAAGGCCCTGGATATCTACGAGTCCTGACACTTCTGATATGGTGTTGCAACGATTTCAACACTTGAGATAATTTTTCATGCGTCACAAATATTTCCTTCTCTGTACATCTAATATGTACTGTATGTGCCATGCGTATGATATTGTAGTAACATATATAATACCTGAATTATAGAATTGGCATTTTACCTGAAAACAAGAAATGTATGAATTAGCAGTTATCAAAGTTTGTATACATTCTTTGAGACACCCTGTATATTCAACTACCCATGGAAGCTATTCCGTTATTTTTTGCTGGAAGAAGGCTGGCAGATCTACATTCAAGTATGTGCGACATTTTTAGACCTGATACCTAAAGGGGTTTTTATAGCACTGATGACTCAAAGGCTTGGTGCTGGAATAATATCGCAGCATTGAGTACATTGACTTTAACTAGAGGAGTGTTGATGTTTCGATGCATAAGGAGTTAATTTGCTGGGGAGAAGTCAAGTTAAGGGCGCACAAGCAGCATGTTTACCTAAACAAGATATCAATTCCTTGCAAACAATGTAAATTTCTTGCGATTGCCATAAAAATGACATCACATTTAAAAAAAATTTACGTTCCTATATTTACGTCACCAAAGTGAACCTTTATTTTACAAGAAATTCAAAATTAACACCACACCATCCATATAAAACTTTAGCTGACCATCCCGTAGTTTCAGTACCAAGATTCCTCACTAGATGGAAACCTTGTTCCCTGCATCCGCCAAATACTATTAAGTACTGGCTTTCCTGATAGAATATTATATTTTCTTACCATCCTTCTACTTTTTATTATGCAATCTATGAATATATATATGAAAATCATGAAATTATTATATATATATTTCATAATATATGACTCAGGGAATCATTAAATGCTGAAGTTCCGCTTTTTATTACAACAGTGCACGGAATTAGGGAAGAGTAGACTCCCAGCTCTTCAAGTACTAAATCTGCTCTACCCTAAGTGGGAGAGAGCTCCTTGAACATGATATCATACTCCTGAGTGCTGATGGGGAAGAGTGTACTCATCCAACCACTCTTGAGTTCTGAAGTATGGAAAAGAATGGTAGATACAATATATCAATTCTTTTCAAAGGTGCTGTTTGGTTCCTTAACGACACATGAGTGCTACAGGGAAATTAACATAATTATTACTTAAAATCAACTAAAATACAGATACCAATGCAAACGGGCATGTCAATTTTACGTTAAATTTACGTTATTTTTATATCACCGTTTACGTACCATAGAGGTGACATGTATGCAAACATATTGCCATTATCTTGACAATGGCTTGTGCAAAAATTGTATAAAATGGACAAAAAAATTTACATTCAGTTTACGTAAAATTAACATAAACGTGCTGTTTGGGCGGATATCGTCGAAGACTTTCATATCATAACGCAAAATGTCGGAAGAGGTCGGTTCAACCAAAAGGGCATGTTTACGTTAATTTTATGTAAAACGAATGTTATTTTTTTTTGTCCATTTTATATCATTTTTACGCAAACCTTTGTCAAGAAAATGTCAACATGTTTCCAGAAATGTCACCTCTGCGATACGGAAACGGTGATATAAAATTAACGTAAATTTTACGTAAAATTGACCTTCCCGCTTGCATTCCAAATAGCATTTTCATTTACAGCATTCATTTTACGTAAGATTTATGTTCATTTTCCCTTGGCATTCATGCATATTTAAAGAGTCAACCAGTACCATTGTAGAGAATTGACATTCCGAATCTCCTATTCCTTTACGTTCTTTAGAACTCTAGGATGGTTGGATGAATACACGAGTACTCATCCTCCCTAGCACTCAAGATTAGCAAAGTGACCTACTGCTTCCTCCTCCCGTGCAGGAAACTTCGGAGGAGGAGTAGATGTTCGAAGGAGCTCTCTTCCTTTTAGGATAGAGAAGATATAGTACTTGCAGGGATGGGATTCTACTCTTCCCTGATCCCGTGCACTGCTGTAATAAAAAGCTTAACTTCAGCATTTAATGATTACCTGAGTCATATATTATAAAAAATATATAATAACTAGCGAGTTTGTTTGCCCGAAGGGCAAACAAACTCGCTATGGTCGCGCCTTCGGCGCTCTATTACCTTGGATAGTGATTATTTCATTTATTCTTTTCGAAATGGCAAACACGTATTTGAAGAACGTCCCCATTGAAATACGTGACATATGGAGTCGAAAGTCTTGATTTTTTATGAAAATCATGACTTCTATGATTATATGTGTGCCTAATCTGAAATCTTTCCTTGTGTCCCCTTTTTCTAAGGGTGAAGAATACATTTTGAAATACTTCCCTCCAATAATCAACGCTAAGGAGACATATTTCAAAATTAGGATTTTTCCCCTACTCAGCCATCAAATAGGTACTTCTGATAGTTTAAATTTTCTGCCTCTGGATAAAAAAAATGAGGAAAATGGGACTGAAAAAAGTGGTCTAATGGGCTTTAAAGAAAATTTTTTTTTCTTTCGAAATGTAGACTCAGGGAACTCCATGCCACCCAGTTTCAGCCTTATACGTTTCCCCTTTTTGCTGGCAGAAAATAATGTATTTGGAAAAGCGACCCACCCAGAAGCTGTGCTCTGAGGAGACGTATAAAAAAAGTTGAATTTTTCCTTAAATCAACATCACTTCAGTGATGCGTGCGCCAGCTACTTTTATATGTCTGCCCGGTGAACTACATGCTAACAAATTTTCAATATTTTACGTTTGCCCTTTTCGCTGGTGAAAAAACATGCTTGGAAAAGCCAACCCACCTAAAAGCTATGCCCGGAGGGGATGCCCCATGAAAGCTGAATACTCCCNGACCTAGGCTTACAAAATGAGACCCCCTGGAATGAGCCCCCAGGGCACTTACCCCCAAAGTTGGAATTTTTCTGGAGTCAGCAATCTAACAACTATGTGTGTACCAAGTTTCATCCTCTCATCATGTCTAGAACATGGTTAGAATCAGCGTCAGTCAGTCAGTCACGATCGTCTATATATATTAGATTTCATGTTTTCCATATATATATTCATGGATTGCATAATAAAAAGTAGAAGGATGGTAAGAAAACCTGATACTATATCAGGAAAACCAGTACTTAATAGTAATTGTAGGATGCAGGGAACAAGGGTTCCACCTAGTGAGGAATCGTGGTACTGAAACTGCAGGATGGTCAGCTGAAGTTTCATGTGGATGGTGTGGTGTTAATTTTTCATAAACTTGTTATGTAATTCACGTCAGATGAAGTGACGTCTAGTTGGTTTTAAAGGCGCGTACACTTTGGTGACGTAAATATAGGAATATAAATTTTTCATAGACGTGATGTCATTTTCATGGCAATCGCAATACATTTACATTGACTCCAAAAAATTGATATTTTGTTTACGTAAACTTTCTGCTTGGGTACATACTTGATGGCGAGTGCAGACTTATGGTAAGGAGTACTAGTTACATCAGCCTTTAGTAATATTTATTTTCCCTTTCCGGTCAGACTCCATTCATTGTTTTGAATTAAGCATGATAGTTTCCACATTTTATCATCTCATGCGGAGTACAAGGAACTAATATTTGAAACTGGAAATGGAAGCTTCAGCCCAAAAACGGTTTTTGGCTGACGCTGTATTGAAATATTGAATAGAATGCTCGTATGAATGTCTGCTTGAAGCATCCCTATTCACGTTGCAAATTTACTCTTCACATATGTTTTCATTTGGCATTGATATCTCGTAAGAGTCATCCCTACTGCGGCTGCCAACTGAGGGTTTGTAACGATCTACAATGCACCGTTTCGTCTCGTCTGCTTTGAAGAGAGAGAACTCGTGAATTCGATGGGATTTAACCAAGGATTGTGGGGGGGGGGAGGAAATGAATGGAGTGGGTTGGATATGGAGGAATGATGGCGCAAAGTTAATTCGAAAATTCAGGAAACGCAACTCATGCGAAACCTGACTTCATTGTCTGGTGGTACAAAAGTCGATGAGAAAGGACGACCCTTAACATGACAATCTGACAAACCGAAATTTTCATTCAATCTTGCATTAATGAGGAAGTTGCGCCATCATGAATGAATCAAGAGTGGAATCGAAACTGGCATGTGCTTACAGACGCCAGACAAAAGAGAAAGCAGTAGCTGCTACACAGGCCAGAAAATCGACAGTTCTCTTCCTCAGCTCATCGGTTGGCCGGCTTGCTCTACCTATTTCCATCATAGCGAACCATTTGGGGGTGCGGTCATTGTCATTGTAAAACGTTTCATTTTCTTAGAGGAAAAATACACAGTCTTTAGTTCTAATGGTGAAGTAATGGTTGCTTTGGAAGGAGTGCTTTCTTAAATTCAAATTAGGAATCCTAATGCTGTTTCATCTTCTTCTCATGCAAAACCCCATTGATCAAAGATTCAAACAAACTCATCCTATGAGATGAACGTCCAATTAAGGAGCTGGAGGCTGATAATTTGAATCTTCCGTCCAGTGGCATTGCATTTTCTAACATCTGTATATACCATCATTTAGAATAACGAACTCGCTTGGAATGAATTGATTAGTTTTCTGCTCTTCCGTTTACATGTTTCATCATGACGCTCCTTACAGGAAATCGACCACCAGAAGTACCATGATGTCACAAGCCCCGGAACGGACTATCAAGGAAAAGATTGGAATGCATGATGATGGGATAATTGGCTGTGATCAGGTTCTTGCTTGTTTCATGCTTAAACAACTTCCCGAATACAAAGAAGCAAAAATTATAAGGTGAGTTTCACATCTGTCTCTTGCATTCTCTTCCAAACGAAAGGCATACACGCAAGATAAGGCATACACATCAGATTAATGTGTTCGTGTGAGTGAATCGAATGATTTCATGTAAAGGGCAGAAAGAAATATCCTCAGTAAATAAAATCGCTCACGATTGAAAAAAGGAAATGATGGTCCATGGCGCATCGGCTTATGAACTGATTTTCCTTGGAGGTGCCACCCAGGCTTTCTTAGGGAAAATCTCGTCAATTAATTGGCCATTTCACCTCAAGTGTGGAAGAGGTCTGTCCTCGATCATACCAGAATAAAATAAAATTAGGTGTGCATATTTAATATTTAATATTTTGCGTCCTAAATAACACGGAGTGGAAATCCCAAGTCATGAGCACAAAGAGAGGCCAACATTGTCCGATTAGAGATTTGGTTCCGTTCAAAGAAATGGCATTTAATCCCCTGAATCCTTGGACTTGGGTTAACTAAAATTCGTAAAACTCAAATTGCACATGCGTGCATGAAAATGTTGACACTATAGAGAAAGTACATAGCACCTACATACCTAAATTTTAAATGTTGCAACCCTACGATTCTTCTGTTGAGAATGAGGAACTTCTGATGAATTCTAAGGTAAGTGGAATTATTTTATGTGCCAACTAACTGTTTCAATAAATGAATTACGCGATACGGTGTCGCGATAACCTGCTCTTCAATTTGTAAATTAGAAGATGCACCCTTTTCCTTGCAGCTATTTCTAAGCATGCTCAGCACGTATTTTAATTTTATTTATCATTTACTTGATCGAGTAAGAAACATCCCAGCTTTTGAGCACTTGAAAGATATATATACACCTTCATAAATTGCAAAATGTTTTTGAAAAAATGCAAATGAACTGTAAAATTTGTTTTAAAAATCATCATTGGAAGCTACGACTATAATATGACTATAATCTCTCTGGAAACCCTGTTTAATGCAGAACGAGAGATGAAAGCGTTCTTTCCACATGCGACGTTCTTGTGGACGTTGGTGGGATATACGACCATGCTCGTCGGCGATACGATCACCACCATGAGTGAGCCTGTTGTCAATGTGTCTGTAATCATCACGAGAAAACCGATGCAAAGTAACGAATCAATTTCACAAGATATTGCATAAATATTGAAAAGCTTGTTCTTCGTCATGATAGGGACATGATAGAACGCTTGAGCACCGTCCTACCAGCGAAGAAATGGACGACGCGTTTCAGCACGTCAGAACTGGTATTTAAGCACTTCGGACATCGAATCATTAGCGTTGTCCTGGAATGCCCCTTAGAGGAGCCCAAGGTGGAAACTATCTTCAAAGTTGTCTATGAATACTTCATTGAAGAAATTTCTGCTTTAAATGGCCATGGTGATCGCATTTGCGAGTAAGTGTCACTGTTCAACTGTCCCGCAATAATCGATATATGATACTATTGGAATTGATTATTTTTTTATGTTAGACTCCGAATCACAACCAATCTTGGTTCACGAATCAGACGTCTTAACCCACCATGGACAGCTAAACAGGTAAGTAATGAAGAGTTGTTTCTCGAGGCCATGGAGATAGCAGGAAGGGAATTCATGGAGCGCATTCGATATTATGGAGAAGTATGGTGGCCTGCCCGAGATATTCTTCTAAAGGCTGTTGAAACAAGGTTCCAAGTAAGTAAGTTGTGTGATCCTTCTCGTATCAGAATTTGTCCGGTATCAAGGTGGCTTGCACAGGTTGATGAGAGTGGGGCGATCCTAGAGCTGCCTCACGGAGGCATTCCGTGGCGAAAGCATCTACTTTTCTTTGAAACAAATGGAATTTTATTACAACACCAAGTATTTTTTGTCATCTTCAAAAATCTAAGGTTTCTATTCTCTAATCAAGAGAACTCATCCGATGAAAATAATTCTGGAACATGGATGATCCAGGCGGTTCTCAGCAGTCGAGAGTCCTTGAGGCAAGGAAATCCAGAATATCCTCGAAGGAAGGCCATAAGCACTGGCTTTTGACTTTTTCGGTGTTTCTCTGGAATGCAGGGTGCTCCTGCCCGCTGCATGGAGAGGGGTTCAAAACCCTGAGTTGGAGGAAAAGTCAAGACTACCAGGGATACGATGGGTGGATAAGAATGGAAACTTTGGATGGCATGACACAAGGGAAGGAGCCATCAGCATGGCCAGGCACACTATAGCTCATTCTCAATCCCGAGTGTTACTTCTTCAAGCGCTGGGGAAAAGGTTCTTGGTATGTAGATATAAGGTCGTATGATCTTTAAAATCAAGGAAATCCCGAGATAATTGGAAGACATTTACAGGTAGATAAGAGCGGGCAGATCGTAGAGATTTCATCTGGATTTTACCAATCGATCAAGTACCTCTTTCATTTCGAAAACAAAAAAGTGCTTCCCAAATATGAAGTGGTATTTGTCATTTTCCAAGATATTACCGGCATTTGGAAAGTCAGGGCGGTTCCCATTTGTTCAAACTCAGCGACATTGAGGCAAGTACAATTGAACACATTCTTAATGAATGACCACGCACGAGAACTTCTTGTTCATCCTGGACTCTATTAAAATTCAGGGTACCTCTGCTTCCAAAAGCAGAGCTAGAAAAACATGCTGGTCTGGATGGAATCATATTTGTACATGCGAGCGGATACCTAGGAGGACATGAAGCACGTGATGGAGTTATCAGAATGGCAAAAAAGTCAATTGCTGCTTTTCAACCACGAGTTTCCCTTCTCAAGGCCATGTACAAAAGATTCCTGGTAAGCAGATATAATGTATTCTTTCAAGTAAAAAAAAAACCTCGCCTTGCATCGAGCCCTTCACAGGTGGATGGGAGTGGACATATCTTAGTACTTACCTCAGCATGGTCCAATTGGGAGAAGCACTTCTTTCATTTAGAAGCACAAGGAGTTATGCCCAAAAATGAAGTATTTTTTATCATCTTCAATGAAGGGGACATTTCCAATACATGGAAAGTCCAAGCAGTTCCCATCAGTTTAGGTTCAACAATCGTCAGGCAAGAGAAATTCAGCACATTCCTGAACCAGGCGTAATCTTAATATATTCTGACTTACTTGAATTCGTCTCAACGACAGGGTGCCTCTGCATGCTGAATGGCGAGGGCTTCAAAATCCAGAGCTGGAACGAAAGTCAGGGTTGCCAGGAATCAGGTATGTGTATTGTAGCGGATACCTCGGAGGGCATCAAACACAAGATGGAGCCATCAGCATGGCCAGGAAGTCTTTGGCCGATTCTTTAAAACGAGTGCTGCTTTTGAAAGCTGTCAACTCTAGATTCAAGGTAAGTAGACCCCAAATAGGATCCAGTTAGGTCAGAGAGCTTCATCTGATCGATGTGAACGTCACAGTTGGATAACACTGGAAGGATTATGGTGATGTGGACATGGAGTTTCCCAGTAGAGGAGAACTTCCCATTGAAGGATCAATATTTTGACCTTGAGAAAGAAGGTATTATACCAACAAATGTATTATTCATCATCTTCGCTGATATTACCGGCACATGGAAGGTTCGAGCGGTTCCTGATGGTCCAGATTCATTCACTTTGAGGCAAGCATTCAAGTTCCTAACAGGACTACAACTCGCTTACAGATGATCCATACACCTACCTGTAGTATTAAAATATTCGGGCTATGGTAGAAATAGAAATGAGGAAATCTACGTACCTACTCGGGCAAGACTTTCTGCTTCTACTCGGGTTTCTTCTGGCTCCTTGGAATATTGGGCACGCTAAAAGATGAGCCAATCATACCTCCACACGATGTTCAAAGTGAATATCCTCGGAAAAGTGCTGGCTTATCAGTACATCCATGGGTAAAATTCTTGTATAGTATTTACAGTGGGGCCTCTTAGGTAAACTCTTTCACAATAACTGTGCGTACCTCTTCTTTGGGAATCGAGCACAGCTTGCAAAAATATATAGTGGAGTGGAAGAAATTGCTTCTAAACACAAGAACTTTCCTGGAATATATATCACTAATTTTCAAGAGTTATTTTAACTAAACATTATCGGATATCAAGGAGGGGCAAAGTACAGAGTGAGTCTGGTCTCATATGGGCTATCAAAATGTTGTTCAAAAAGTAAGGTTTATATAATATGCGTAATGAATGTGCAGAAATCACAGCCGACACCCTCCAGCAGGTGAAGGAAAGTTTCCTCGCTAGCGTGGACATCTGTTTCCGCCTCCAGGGCATGCAATTTGAGCACCTCTTGTAAATGCACGTGTTCCCTATGAAACCGGACTTTTGACACACCCTGTTTAACAGTGAGCACGACAACTCTGGAAAGTGTCGCCGAGTCTGCTGAAAATGGCGCATAATTGAAGTACTAACCCTTTCTCGGCGAACCGATCAGTCATCTGACATGATTGGGATGTTGGTTATCCCTGTACTTCCTAAATTGCCCGTTTAACGGAGATCCTCGTCCGTATTTTTGGGCTATAACATGGCTAAGATCCAGGAGCGAGATACCATGGAGCATATGGGTGTTATTGGCCGCGATGAAGCTGATGCATGATTAGCCCGAGGACAGTATTAAGATCGGTCAGTGGATTCCAAGGAACAACGAGATAGCAGCGGCTTAAATTATCAGGACATAGCAGAACAGAGGCAGGCATGAGTGCAGATAAATGGAGCAGAGCCATATTGTTCGACCTTTTTATATGAGTGTTTTACAACGAACGACGCCGATGCTGACGCAGAAGCAAAGGGTTGTGTTCCCCGATGAAACATATTATCGATTATTCAGATCATATGACTTTCCCTATGCATTTACAGTATGCAAGTTCGGAGTTTGCGCGTTTGCAGTGCATGGAACATTGTTGGCTTTCATGTAAAATTCCTCTCGGTCGCACAGCCAATTACGTACCGATTAACAAATTCGGAACAAGCACGATTGTGCTGACGCACTCATTCGCCGAAGATAATACCATTATATCCTGAACAATTTTTTTGCTTAAAGTTTAGTGCATCCTTCGGGAAGAAACATATGTTACGACCTCCAATTGATGCAGGATTCCTCTCAAATACAGGATGCCTCTGCATTCTGCCTGGAGGGGGCTTCAAAACCCTGACCTGGAGGAAAGGTCAGGTCTGCCAGGGATCAAGTTTGTGCATAGAAGTGGGTTCCTTGGAGCGCACGAGACACGCGAAGGTGCCATCCTCATGGCGCAGAGGACTTTGGAGGATTCTCAACAAGGAGGATAGGCATATTATTCAGTCTTTATATTTCCTGTCGAACTCGCGGCAGTGAATGCGAGTAGAGGAATGGTGGGCCGTGACAGCAAAGCTTTGTGGCTTATTTCCGACGTGCTTCAGTGCGGACTCGAAAGAAGAAGGCCTGAAATTACCTGCTGCATGATGATGCGACCTCGCTTAATAAATGATGTGATAAGGAAAAAATATATATATATATTTGCAAACATTTTCTTTCATTTGCAACATGCTATGTTCTGTGGAATACATGAACTAAAAAAAAATGATAATTTTCATTTCATGAGCAGTGTTATAAGGGTTCGAAATTCCAAGTGTTGCTCAAAGGGGTATCTATTGAATCGGCATTGATAGGTTTACATGCGTATGAATGACTTTGTCTCAGTAGGCACGTCAATGTCAAGCTTCAGCTTTCTTTCTCTTCATTTGACTGAAGCAAATTCATACAGGGTGACAAATTTGAAAAGTCTACCGTGGGCCATGGACAAACAAAACCACTGAACAGAAGAAGCTGACACTTGGCATGTGAACAGTTTGAAGAAGGGATTTCTCGGATTCATAAAAAATTAAAAAATTAACATTTAAAGGGTAAAAAGATGGCACCACCAGAGCATGTCACGTGGCCATCGAACAGTATAAAAGATCAGTGGATGACTATGGACTGGAAGAGTACGTAACCTAACCAGTGCAAGTCAACATTCTAGCGCTCACTACGAGGATCGAACCAATACAGAAGTTTTACGAAAATGGGAGGAATGCGGAGGCCGCCTTAAGGTCGTACCGTCGAAGCCACAACATGCGCCAAGGTCCATGATCGCGAGCAGCGTTGGGAAAGCTTGCGGCAAAATTTGAAAATACAGGATCTGTAGCCAATTTGAAGAAGAGAAGAGGCCGTAGGGTTTCTGAAGACATGGCTGCAGAAGTGGTATTGGCTGTAGAGGAAGATCGCGCGACATCGCATGTTGGTATTGTCATAGCAAGGGCTGTGGCACGTCGCACTGGAATTCCGGTAGAGACAGTTCGGAGGGCGATGAAAATTGCGCTTTGGCTGTTTCCGTATCGGATTCATCGAGATCAGCATTTTTCAGCTGCCGACATGGAGAGGCGCTACAACATTGCAATGGAGTTCCTTACACATGTGGAAATTGATGAAACGTGGTTTGGATACATCTTTAGGATTGATGAAGCCCATTCACCCTCCATGGCACGGTCCACACCAAAAACTGCGTGATCTGGGCAGAGGAGAACCCCCGCACAATCGTTCAAAAGCCTCTCCACGATGACAAAGTCACCGTGTGTTGTGGATTCACACAGGACTTCCTGTTGGCCCATTCCTCTCCGAATAACCCACACAGTGCGGTTTCAAATCCGTCACTGTAACAGGAGAGCGCCACAGGCAGTTATTGGATCAACACGTCATCACGGACCTGCAGCAGCAAAACGTAGGTGGTGGAGTTGTGTTCATACAGGATGGTGCTCCTCCTGATGTCTCCAGAATCCCAGAATCAACAGACACTACCCATTTAAATGGCCTGCTGAATCTCCCGATCTCACACCGGCCGATTTTTGGTTGTGGGGATACCTGAAGTCCCGTGTTAATCGCCATGGTCCCACCACGCTGGTTGACCCGAAGACTGCCATACAGCATGAGATCGCCTTGATCCAAAAGGAAATGCTCTCAGCTGCAGGTGGGAATGTCCTACCCCGCCTAGAGGCCGTCGTCGCTCAGCACGGAGCCCACATCGAGCAGCAGCTCTAGTCAGATCTCTATAGCACTTGTGCCTCACCATACTTGTTTGTCACATCCTTAGAAGCCCATGCTACCAGCAATTTACATGCCAAGTTTCAGTTTCATCTATGCAGTTGTTTGCCGTGCAATTGTCCACGTGACATGCGCTGGTGGTGCCATCATTTGACACTCAAAACTTATTTTCTAAGGATTCGAGAAGCCCATACTTCAAAATATTTATTTGCCAAGTTTCAGCTTCTTCTGTCCAGTGGTTTCGTTTGTACATGGCCATTCATCGGTAAACTTTTCAGATGGGTCACCCTGTATATATTTGCTTCAGGCAAACGGAGAGACAAAATGCTCAAACTTCACATGAACGTCCCTAATGAGGCATATAGTCCAGGAAAAATGTTAAGTTTTGGATGCATGTCCTGGGGGCGTATTTTTGGTAGGTTTTTGTCCTGCAGAATTTGCAGAGATAGAAAGGTGAAACTTCGCACATGCATAACTGAGGTGATGGTGAGTTCAGAGAAAATTCAACTTTTGTGATGCATACACTCAAGGAACAGCTTTTAGCTGCATCGGCTTTTCCGAAGTTATTTTTGCGCAAGCGAAAAGAGAAAACGGATAGGGCTGAAACTTGGTAGACACGAAGTTCTCCGAGTAGTGATTTCAGTATTTAAAAAAATATTGGTAGACTTGGTGGACATCCATTACGCGCACGCCTTAGGTCCCGCAGACCATTCTGGACCGCAGGTGAAGCACTCCAGTCACCCCACACCGGTCTGGATGAATAGTAGCGAACACTATGGAACGACGCAGAGGTTAAAGAACAATAACCTCATCTTGGACCCTACATACGAGCCTCCTGGTTTCTAGCTTTGACGCAAGCATTGGAGCACCATCAACCGCATAAGAACTTCACACGGTCGATGTGCAGATATTTTGCGCAAATAGCGGATGAAAGACTCACCACTGTCAGTGCTGCGAAATTCAAGCTATGGAGCATATTGTCAATGCCTGCCCCATATACTCCTTCTGCGGTGGCACTGCCGAATTACATCATGCAGCACCGTAAGCCATCGATTGGATCTCAGCACTCTCCATTATCTTGTAATTTACCTCTCACTGTATAAGCACAAAAAGTTGATATTTTCTACACGAAAGAAGAAATAAACATATTAAATTGTATGTAAAACCCCTGAGGGCACACTTTTTGCAAAAGGTGCAGTTTCCCTAATCTGTTTTGATCTAATGAAAGAGAGAACTAAATAAAATTGAAACTCACAGCAGAAGTACCTGTTCGATTGCTGAGTGCAGATCCTACTTTTCAAATATGTCCCCTCAAAGCAGATAAGTGGTCCGAAGTTAGGCAGACAAGAAATAACGGAACAATTATTTAGATGAAAATATCGGTTCGTCTTCTCACAGCACACATTTCGGCAGGCACATACTTCCAATAGGTTTTCACCACTTTGAAAATAAATTAATGAATGAGTCAATATCCTGGATAGTGGAGCACCGAAGGCGCGACCATAGGGAGTATAGGAGCGATATAGGAGCGATGCGAATTTGTTTACCCTTCCTTGCCGGAAGGGTAAACAAATTCGCTAGTATAACATACTAGCTAGTATTATATACTATAATATACTGTAGATATTCTGTTATTTGGAGCTCCGTTCATGTGAGCCAGCTTTAGCCAAGGACTCATTCCTGGTACGCGTTTGGCTTCGCTATACTCCTAGAAAATGCCAGCACTAGCTCTAGCTTCCTGCTGTTTTTGGTAATTTCCCTCCATTTTACCTAGGGAGCAGCAAAATGAGTAAACATCAGAGTAATTTTTCTCTTGAATAAAAGGAAAATGAAACTGGAGTTAGCGTTTGATAGTATACTGTTGAGCTTACACTTTTTCCGGTTCCTCGTGTAAGGGGGCGGGATTTTAAGGAGACACCTGGGACTGGTCCAAGTCAATATGGATTTTATCTAGATTGAGACAATTATCTTAGCTGATGATCCTGTCCTTTAAACCCGGTCTAGAGAGAACCCTGGATCATAGTTGGTCGGTTACACTTTGCATACACTGAACCCGGAATGAATTTTGGTGTCCACAAGGCACAGGACTCCTCTTAATAAATCCTGAGGTGTGTATCCAATATGTTTCAGCATCACTAGAACCTATGGAGAAGTTAAAGTTCACTTGGATCTGATTGTCAAGTGACAAGTATGGAAACTTGATCGGCAGGCGCAGTTTCAGTATTTGCGGTTCTGTAGGAACT